AAACAAACAAAAACACTACAGTACAGTATATGCAAATGTGAATAAAGGTACCCAGCAAATACTAAATATAATCTCTCATCTATCTATAATGTATGATCAGTAACTGATAGAGAATTCATTTCTTCAATGTAATTCACTGAAGGCATAACATGTCAAAAAATATTCTATTTTGCAGTTCATTTCTATTTCTTTGGTTTCTTATTGGCTCTTATTTACATTTTAAATTGAAACCTGTAACAATCTCTTTAATGGAAATATTTAGAAAGTCAGCACTGCTTATAGTACTTACATAAAACCATATACAATCTGTATTATACATCATGGAACATATATATTATACTGCTGCACTCCAGCTCTTTGGAACTCATAGTATGTCATGCTGTATTACAGCTCTAAGAGTACACTTCATGGATCCACTACTGGTTTCCCACAGTGGAGATAATCAGAGGATGTGAGTTTTTCCCATTTTGTTCAAGATGTGGACTGAAATATGGGAAGATCTCACCCCTGAATGAGCACTCAGTAAACGAGTAGATATGAGACTGAGCCGTCACACTGTAGAAGGACACAAGACCTTCCTCGTAATCCACAAACACTCCCACCTTCTGAGGTTTCTCTTTCAGGGAAAGGCTGAGCGGCGGTGATGTCAGGGCTGCGTACTCACTGTCTTTAAAATGAACAGTAACCCAGTAACCATTATCTGGATTCAGTGAGAGTTTCCCCTTGCGGTTTGCATCACCTCTTGTCACGCCTAGATCCCACCCGGTCTTGTTGCTGACCTCCACCTCCCAGTAAGACTTCCCAGAGGTCAAGCTGTTGAGCCCCAGGACGCTGCCATACATGTCAAACCTTTCTGGAGCATCGGGAACGTTCTGGTTCTTTCCTCTATCTCTCACTTCTTTCCCATCAACAGAAAGAACAAGGCAGTGATGAGCAGTCAGTGGGTCCAGCTTTACATCCGCTGCAGGTGAATACAATAGAATAACAGAAACTGAATCCTGGTGGCATTCCTTTTCTCTCCCCTGTTGTTCCAGTTACCCGAATACTGTAGGACACACTCAGACTCAATGTCAAGGTCAAAACCAATAACATATAAAGATTCCTGATGTTTATTTTACACAGAAATACCCTACGTCAACATAATCGTAACACCAAAAATTAGCAAGACAAGCACAGTGATGAATGTGAAACCTTTATGAGTGATTTACCAAAGGGCCTTTAGCTATTGGAACAAAACCTTAAATTTATCTTCCTTTATAGTGTCTTTACACTATCGACACAATATACGGACTGAGATTTGGAATCACGATCTAGTACAATCACCACTTTTTCCTGTTTACAGAATCACATTTTTAAGCTTTAGGTCACACACCTGCAAACTTGGGAATCCTCTTGAGTTCTGTAAAAACAAAATGACATTAAAGTAAGTTATAAAATTAAATGCAGAACTTGAATAAATGAAATCCGAATCTTGATAAGTAGAAAGACTCACCAACTGGAGATAGCTGATCCAGTTTCTGGTGAATTTGTTCCATCATGGCTGACACTGTAGTTCTTATGGTTCCGAAGGAAAAGGAAGTGTCAACACTCAGATTTGTCCAGTCTTTAGATTCATCCAGGCCAGTGCGAGGGCAGACCTGTGTGTGTGTCCACGAGGGGAAAATGTCACATTGTCACTATAAAATCATTTTTAAAAATCAGAAATATATGCACAAAACTAGCAAAGCACTTGTAGTTTTATTTTTGTTGTAAAAGGCCGAGAGCTGGGATGTTACCTGCAAGTCTGGGTTTTTGTCTAACTCATCAATGGCCTGTTCAAGTTGACCAATTTCTCCTTCCAGGCTCTGGACCAGATCTTCAGATCTCAGCCCCAAACTCTTCACCCTGTACACCCACGACTGTGTCTCCAACCATGACAACACCATCATCATTAAATATGCTGATGACACCACCATTCTGGGCCTCATCAAGGGGGGAGACGAGTCGGGTAACAGAAGCTTGGTGAACGACATTCTCATTTATGGAGAGGAGAATGACCTCATCCTCAACATAAACAAGACAAAAGAAATAACAGTAGACTTCAGGAAGAACCCCTCCCCTCTGCTGCCTCTGACCATCAAAGGGACTGAGGTGGAGAGGGCTGACAGCCACAAGTTCCTGGGCCTGCAGGTGACATCTGGTCAATACTTAACAAGTTTAAGAATTTTGGCCACACTTTCCCATTGACCTGAATGGGAACATGTGGCTAAATGTTTGACTGGTAGAGAGTATGTGGAATTAAGCTTTTCATATTTTCATACTTGTCAGCTCCTTCAGCTAGCAATCAATATCACAGCAATATTGATAACCTTAGCATACTGGCTTTCACAACTTCCAGCCTTCCCGGGTAGCCTACAGTAGGCTAACCTCATGTTACCCATCACAACACTAGGAACTGTGAGCAATTCCATCAGGTAAAGTCTGCAGAAGTGAGCATAAAATAAAACACTAAAAAATAAACATATATATTAAAACCAGTGCTCTTTATTGTCATCACTGCAATATGAAATTCATTACTATTTGTATGTGTGTGCATGCGTGAGTAATTTCCTGGTAATTTCCAAGCAAATTGGGAGAGTGTTGTTTGAGCATACACCCATACTGATACTGGACAGTGATGATGGCGGTGCCACTCTTCTCATGAATCTGTCTGTGCCAAGAAACCCTGATAACTCCTGGGCAAACACAGACATACAGTATGAAGTAAGAAGCACATACAGTATATGTGTTTGTGTGTTAATGTTTGTGCCCTGTCTTTGTATCATCAGTCTCACATACAACCAGAAATGTGTGCATGTCCAATCACTTCTGTATTTCATGTCCTGTAGACAGGAGAGTCTACTTTCTTGTCAAGGCCAGGAAACAAACAATAGTGAAGCAAAACATTAAAGTTGCAGGTCGGGTATCCAAACAACACGAAACTCGCTGTAATTCTGCATAAAGCCTAAACATACATTACTACAGGTAACCCTGTTCACATTGTCATATGGTTTTCACATTTGATATGTTGTTATGAAATGATTTGAATCTTTTTGTTCATATTTTTGTTTGTAAAGTTTATTCAAGGATATATGCAGTAATTAAGTGATTGCTCAATATTCTTATCTTGTGTGGTGCCATAGTGCACTGGATTAGACATGATAAAAGATATTAAAGATATGATGAACATATGGCAAACAGCCTCAGACGGCATCACGGATGTCCTGAACAACAACAGGCTGCCACCTGGCTGGTACTGTACCAACAGCCTATCATAGTCGTCCAATCTGACATAGTCATCATTTATCAGACAAATAAATGGTGTGGTCTGAACCAGGTAGAGAGCAGAAGACGAAGCTGAAATCAGATCTGAAGATGAACCTTGTAGTGGTTTTGGTTATGTTTCTGTTCTGTGGCCTAACTTTGGCCGGGGAGCCTCCTGCTGATACAGAAATGGCCCATTCTGACTCCCACCATGATGTGCTTGGTCTCCAGAGAAAACCTGGGGCCATGAGCAAAAAAGTGGGAGCCTTGGAAAACAAGATGAGGAAGACTGAAAAACACATTGAAGATCAGAAGAGGAAAGGTAAATCAACAATTTTCTAAAAGATTCAGAGCTGATTTGGCTTAATACCATGAACTACCAGAAATCAAAATTTGCTGTAGGTCAAAATATTTTCTAACAATAAGCTCTTTAAATAAAATTTGAACTGAAATGCATTTTTTCTTATACATAAGCATATTCTCTACATTCTTGGTGTTTCTATACTTGCCAGTCATTTTCTGTATTAATAGTAAATTTGGGCGACCTCCACACAGACTATAACCAGCAGTGATTTGCCTCTACTCACAATTCATGCATATCCAGGGCTGACCCAGGCTCTGTTGGTGGCCCGAGGGGGAAGTTTTCAACCCCCCCCCCCCCCATTAGAAAATTCTGAAAATGCTGATTTTTCAAAACTTTACTGGAATATAACATAATGTAAGATCACATTACATACTGATAAATATTAAAATAAATACGTAGGAAATAATTTGTGATAATAAATAAATTTGACTTCCAGTAACCTGAAGAATCACACAAAAATTAAATCCATCCATCCATCCATTTTCCTCCCCTTATCCGGAACCAGGTCGCGGGGGCAGCAGTCTAAGCAAAGATGCCCAGACTTCCCTCTCTCCAGACACTTCCTCCAGCTCCTCAAAGAGGGAA